CGCACAACAATCTGGGCCGGGCGTTTTAAAGCGTTTATCGCCATGTTGGTAGCACCAACAGTTTTGTGGTTAGAGTATGCGGGGCGTATTTTCAAGAAACTGTAGGACCATTTTGGTAGAAAAGTCAATGGGTTTCGGCGCTGTCGATTTGTTTGAGCAAGTATGGGCGTGTGTGTGTGTGTTGAAATAGGGGAACAAGTGGGTGGTTTCCCTTTGAACTCCTTTTAAGCAGAAAAGGGGTACCACCACAGAAGGCAAACCTGGACATCAATCGGACATCTTTCTTGGTGCTTGTTCGCGTGCGAAGGCATGAGTACTGATGTCCCAGCCAGAAGCTCAGCGATCCAGGGAGTGTTTGCCCAAGGGCTCCCCTCTTGAATGGGACACCGCCCTGATCAACCATGATCATCTTTGGGCATTCGATGTAGGTCGCATGAACTGGCGAGTGACTAGTGGAAGGTTGGTAGGAGACAGCCCTAACCAAGAAAATAGATGCAGTATAGCGCTGTTGATTTTTTTTAACATGGTTTTGGGTAGACCACTTTAATACCAGGTTTTGAGTGTGGCCCACATGAGGTCCCCTTGGCATATACTTGTCCATGGAAGAAAACGAGGCTGCCGTAGCCCAATCCAAAGAGGGGCAACCAAATTCCCAAAAAGGCCGCACCCATCTTGGGGCGTTCCCTGGCAAAACCGCCCCAAAATCCACATCTGTCTCCAAAACAGGGGGGTTCACTTCGAGAGAGAACCCTGGTTCATGTAATGGGTGGTTTCTTTCGGTTTCCATTCAAAACAGCATGCAAAAAGGAGCACCTGAAACTGTTCGGTTCAACTTTTGGTTTCCCCAACCAGAAACAACACCAACACCTTTCGGCAACTCAAAACCCACGGCCCCCAACGGGCGCTTTTGTGCTCAGGGACCCCACCCCTTCGACCGGGTTCCCGGCGCCCGGGTGCTGACCGGGTGCTGACCGGGGTAAGCGAGGTGTCTCCCTCCGCCCTGGCGAAGCTGGAGACCGCGGCGCGGGGGCCGAGCGCGGGGCGCGGGTGGATTTTGATCGAAAGGCCTTGGCGCCATGTCCCACACTTGGGGTCATGGGGTGACCCCGGATTGCTCAACTGGTTGATTTTGATGGGATGTGTGGATTCAGGCCACTTTTGGAGGGAACACCCCCCCCTTTTAACAGGAGGGGTGGATGAATTTGGGGTCAGAATTACCCTCCCTACGTTGCCATGGCACCTGATCTGGAAAAAACAACCTCCCCGCAGTAATGTTGGAAGGGAGGGTACGGTGTGGTTCCTTTTGTGCGGGTACCCCATAAAATGGGTTGGACACCAAAGGGACACCAGAGCGAAATCACATTTGTTTTGGGGGGTTTGCTTTGAGACAAACCAATGTGGTGGCGCCCAAAATAAGTTGCCCTATGGACCCGAAGAACCGGAAGCGCTGAACCTATGAAGCACACCCCGCTGGTGATGCTGGTGATGATGGCCGTTTGGTCCCAGTTTGGCCGCCTGGCCCCCCAACAGGTGAACCTTCTAAGCCCCGGAAATGGTTCTCAAACTAGGTACTTGAACTAAGGACATGCTGAGGTTCTTGTTTGCATGTTGGGTCCAAACGACTGGTCTACCTGACAGCCACTTTGACAGAGATGTCCTTTTGGGGGCTGGACCCTCTTTTTTGGTGCCATGCTAATATGGGTTTGTCTCTGACCAGGAGCAGCGATTTCTCTTTGGTTCCCCCTTTGACTTTAAAGCAAGCCCCGAAAAGCGAGCGACTTCAAAAAACAACGCACCGAGTTGGGCCATGGTTTGAGCGACCCTTTGGTCTCCCTTTTGGGTTCATGTAAATGTGGACCCCTTCAATACTGGGATTGATTGTGAGGCAATTGATGGCTGAAAGATTTCAGGTGAATAGGGAAAGTTATGAACCGTGGTTTTTGAGCAGATATTTGTTACTGGAAACATGACCCTCCCCTCGCAACAGACCACGTTGTGTTACAATCAAAACGCTTGTCCAAGAGTTGATGCGGATGGTTTGCTAACCCTCGAATCGGGATTCACAAGGAGGTATTCTCTTAAGAAGTTTTAGACAGGGTTTCGCCACACTGTTTAAACATGTCGACGCGGACACCATTGCTTAGCTTCCTCCCTTTGGTTTCCCTTTGAGTCATTGAGGTAAACCAGTTGATGGACGCTCGGGCAGCCACCGGAGCCAGTAATTAGTACGCTTAAATCCCCCGTGAAATAGGACGCTAAAGATCCCAAATTCCCAGGCATTGGCTGTGGGTCAAAAATAGGTGCCCGACATGGAACTCTGGTAAATGGAAACATGGACTAAAAGCTGTGGTCCCCTTGTGGTTTAATTTTGACCCATACCCATTGGTGCAAGCCTTTGTGCGGCCAAGGTTGGGGCGGTGTCTCCGTGGCTAGATGCAGAGGCCAGTCGAACATGGTGAAACACCAGTTTGAACCTTGAGAAGCTGTCAATTGAGTGCTTTTAAGATTAGGGACCGATTCCTCAAGGTGTGGTTGCGTTCAATTTGGTTCCCTCCAAACGGTACCAAAAAAAGACCTCTACTTTGAGAAACTCCCATTGGCTGCAGCATGGTGAGAAAGAGGATGACATGGGGCACACTCACCAGCATAGCATAAGGAAATGGGGGGAGGTTTACTCACTAACATCCCGTGTCAGTTGTTGATGGTGGCTTCGAGAATGAGTGGCTTCATGTTGACGTCCTTGCAGAAATCATTTGCCAGGGGCTCCCAGTGCTTTGGTTTTGACAGCCAGCTGGCTTTGTTTTCTGTTGTAACACCCTCAAAATGGTTGGTGCACATGCAGTATGATGGCCACCAAAGGGGCCCAATTATAACCTCATGCCCCAGCTGATGCTCGAACACCGAAGGGTAGCTTTAGTCTACGCCAGCCGCACAAAAAGTCCTCTTCGGGGGCTACCACATTTTCTTGTGATGGTCAACATGTTCAGTAGCCTAAATCCTATTCGGGAAAGACATGCGTGAATTCACTAAATTTCCCGCAAACACCTGGGGACTCACTAATTTTCAAGCGTCTTATGTCAGTCGGGGCCCGTGAGTATTGTCCGTGGCTCATATATGAGTAATGTCCTGAGTCCTGAGTTTTTTTGGCGGGTTGGGGAGGACACATTTATTACAAAGTACCCACGAAACTCAGGGGGACCTTTAGGGTGTGCTGGGTTCTGCTTGGTTCAACCGGCGCGCAACATTGCATCAACTAGGGAGCTCTGATTGGTCCATCTTACGACACTGTGAGACCAACCAGGAAGGCACCCAACTTGTTTCCGCGCAGATATATCTGCGCAAGTTGTGTCGAGCTCACCCGGTAAAACGAGCTCACCCATGTCCCTCGTGCATTCCTCAAGTCAGGTTGGTGATTGTTTCGTACCTGGACCCTCAAACTACCCAGGGTTTGGGAGTTTGGGTTAGCGGCAGTTTTCTCTTGGGAGACAAACTTCGATTCCTTCAGGCAGGCGACTCAAGAGTGCGCGACCCGGAACCCGCCTGCCCCTCAGAAGCGGGAGATGGGCTACCAAACGCAGGGGGGTTTTCCTCCGGTTGCCCTTTAAAGCAACCCCGCTCTGAAGCAAGCTGTACCTGAACGAGTAAACATGTGGATGGACAAAATCCTGCAGTTGGTAGGTGGGTTTTGCAAATAGTCTTTGTGGGCTGCTTTCATCCAACTGGAGGATTGTCCATCTGCAGGATGGGGATTTGGTTTCAAAAGATCCCGATGTGTCCTTGCGGTTTTTGGAGAAGCTTGCTCAGATAACGAGTTGGGAGCGAGGGAGCCAGTCAAGCGCGGACGGGCTTGAAGATGCGATGCGTTTTTTGGGGACCCTTGCACTGGCACTGGGGCTTGGGGCTTTAAGGGTTTCTCAAAGGGGAAACGCTGCTGTCAACTTGTCGGGGTTGTGCCAAAGTTTTGCTGCGGTTTTAGATGTTATTGCCAGTCGTGGTTACATTTCCTCCTCACTGTCAACTTTCCTGGGATGGGGACTGGGGCTGTTCCAACATTGGGACCCAGAAGGCCCTTAAGCAGGGCTCCACTTTTTGACTACCCCAAGATAGACTTAAACCCAGGGTTTCTCCTTTTGGGGGAATGAACCACGGGTTTAAGTCTACACTTGGGTAGTCAAAAACTGGAACCCTGCCCAAAAGACGAACCGAACGTCTCTCAGGTGGACTGGAGCTCCGCGCAAACTCTGTGGGAGCGTTGCCGCCGCAAGTCGGACCGGCGATGGACCCTGGCATAGCGGAGAAAGAGGCGGCAGCTTGCGACCGTGCAATCGAAGCTTGGGTCGGTGAAGCTTAGGGGGACGGGTTCAAAAATGAATATGTGCGGCAAGAAGCCCATTTGGTTCCAGATATATTTTGAGTGGACTCCTTTTTACTACCAGCTTTCTATTCTGAGCATGTGTCCGCAGAAGCATGGTTGTATGTCATTATGTGGCTTACATACTCAAAAGTCAATCTTGCAAAGCTCCAAGCAGCGCCCGCATTTGGCTCCAAGATGAAATCGAAAGCGCGGTTGGTTTCTGCGCCAAGTGCCACATCAGCTCTCACTCAGTCAGCCTGAATTGCGCAGTAGCCCTGCACTCCCCATTCTGACTGATGGCCTTGCAGGATCAGCCCTGGACATGAGACCACCAGACTTGGGCACAGATCGATTCCCTCCGGGTTTGTGCAAAAAGCGAAAAGGTCGTCGAAGGCTTCACAAGACCCAGCTACAAACTTGAAACCGGCGAAAACGCGCGCGCGTGCGCCCTTCATGGGCTTTCCCTAGCTCGAAACGCCCATGTGTTCTTCAGCTGGTCAAGGCTGGGGCAAGCGGTGGCGCTCCAAGAGCCTTTGCTGGCTCTTTGAGGGCCCCAGCGCTTTCTAAGAGCCCGGTGCCTTCCGAACTCGGGGGTTTCGTGCCTTCTCTGGAGATCATGATCCTCGCTGCGGCCTTCCAGTTTGCAATGGGCCCGGCGCTCGTGCATTCGCCTGTCGCGTGTTTGTGTGGGCATTTTGGGCATTTCCTGAGACCTTGGCTTGTCCCCCACCCCGCCCTTTTTGATGTTCAAGGGAACCAACAGTCCCCACAACTGGCATTGCTAGGACACGCTTCCGAACTAGGCAGCGTACCAGCCGAATCAACGCCAGGCTTTTTGGCCATTCTGCTGCGATATGGCGAGTCTGGCCCATAGTGGAAGTGACGACAAGTGGCTGACAGGGGTCTCCTTGTTTCAGGGTCCATGAAAGCGTTTGCAAAATGACTTTTGGGGGTGGAGCCCCCTTGAAACGGCTTTCATAGACGAAGCCATGGGAAACCACAGCAAGTTCTACAGGAACGCAGGCCCGCGCCCACATTTCTCAGGGGCTGAACGATACAAGTTTGGGCCAGAACAGTCAGCCAAGCTGAATGAGAGGATCCGGATCCTAAAGCAGGTGGCCTTTGCATGTATCCTATTCGAACCCGATTTCTTAGAGTGAAACATGGCAGTTTCATCCAGCTCCCAGCGACTGCGTCGGCAGCCCCCACCGTTTGAGAATTATCATGACCTCTGGAAGCAACTCGAGCTCTTTATTTTGCGAGACGAAGTGAATCGCGAGGCGAGGAGGTTTCCAGCCATGCATAGATGGCATCAAGCGAAAATGTCGCGCAGTCCGGGCCTCGATTGGCCATGTCAGCGCACGGCTTTCACACGAGCTGACACAAGTCTCGTGTACTGATTGGGAAGGACGAGGAGGGGACAACCCAAATCAACCACAAAAACAAAAGCTGTCCGCTGTCCTCTTGGGAGATGGTCATTTTGTCAGCTGGCACGAGGCGGTCTGGCTGCTGACGTGTGCCTGCCTCAGATCCCCTTGAAGCCATTGTATGGATCAATTGAGTCACAATCAAAACCCGGGTAAGTGAAGGTTAGGGACAATCCCAAGAATAGATAGCTGCGGATATCCGCCTTCTTAATTCTTGAAGCATGGTTCTGAGTCGACCATTTTAATCCCGGTTTTGATTGTGACTCAATTGGTCAGTGCTGGACGAGGGGGTGCTAGAGCCTATTTGCTGTGCTACCAAGGGCATCCCCTTGAAAGTGGCAAAGTAGTCATAAGGGTCGGGAATCCCACTTTGGTATTGCAGCAAGGGTGGCTACTTATCACAACCACGAGTTTCTCGTGATGTTTCCGGGGGGAAATCGGGGAGCCAAGGCTGTGGTCCTTTGGTAACTGATGGGGGATCTTCTGGCAGCCTGGTTCCCCTTTTGGATTTGGCGCAGGTTTCCCACACATCCTAAGGGTTCCATGTTTCACCGGGCCGGTGAGGGATTTCCGGCATCGATCGGAGGTGGTCACTGCTGTCACTGCTGGCCCTGCAGCAAGCTCTGGAGCCTCTGCCGCCGGGGGGCCTGGAAGTGCTGGTGAGCTCGGAAGTCGTCCCGAGGTGTTCGGCAAATGGCCCGTGGTTCCCTTTTTTTACAGGGGGCCCTTTTTGTGGGTGTTTGTTCAAGGGAACGCAAAAGGACAACCATCATTTTTGCAGGAAACAAGCCCATGCTAGAACTGTTCTATGTTTAACGGTACCCGTTTTAAGGAAAACGGAAGCCTCACATTTTTTGGGCCCAACTTCACTGCTCTTGTCGCTGAGGTAGGCGGAACTCCGGATCTTCCGAGTCGAAGTGGAGATGTGCCTTTGGCTGAAGTCGGATTGCTTGGTACCAACCACGCCCTTCCATTTGCTGAAATGAGTATTGGGGAACAGGTGAGTCACTTCGTTTGGGACTGAGGAAGCAGAGTTGGTTCTGGGGCCTTCCAACTCATATTCAGTCATCTTCCATTTGCTGAAATTAATATTTATTATTTTTCTTGGTTTTAAAGGGAATCTATCACCACTGGTAATATTGACTATTTGTTTCCAGAGACTTGAATAAATGGAGCAAACCCTTGGGATTCCAACAAAGCACCTTCCGACAAGTTTGCTCACACAAACCCCTTCCATCAAAAAGCGGACAAAGACCCCACACAGCTACAAGATGCTCGTTTGAGGATTTCGCATTTGCCAGATTGGCAACAAAACAAACAATGTATGTATTATTATATATAAATATACACATAATATATATATATACATACATATATACATATATACACATATACATATACATACATATATATATATATGTATGCATGTATGCACATGTACAGATATATATATATATACACATATATATATATATACACACATATATATATATATATATTGGATCCGCTCATCATCGCCGAAGGCTGTTGCTGTTTGCCGTGCGTTTCTTGGAGCTCTTGTCCACTGTGCTGGGGCCTTAGGCCGGCTCCAGAGCCGGAAGGGCCAACTGGGCCCGGCTGTTTAGATTGAAAAGAAGCAAGGTGTTGCCCAACACAGGATTTGGACCCGCCTGGTTGGTTTCCCTGGCTTCGTGTGAAACGCCGAGCTTGTGCCCTCAAACCCAACTCGCCCTGGACTCAGATGGCCATGGTTCAAAACCAATGGTATGATTTTGGGATAGGTGCACCACCCATTTTGGTCTATAGTGGGGATTGGGATGTTCACTGGGGGTACGCCCATGGCCAGATGCCGATGTCAGATCTCTGCAGCTCTTCGGCGCGCCCGAGTCGTCCGAGGCGTCAAGGATGACATGAATCAGCGCCCAGAAGTCCTGGAGGACAAGATCCGAGTGAAGGTAGCGGGCAAGCTCAAGAATACATGGTTTATTCGCTTTTTGTGTGTTTGATTTTCTTTTCTTTTCGTTTGTTCTGTTTTTGTTGTTCATGATATTATATTGTGATTTATATATTTTGTTTCTTAATTCTGGATATCCGGCCTTGTGATTTCTTTCATGGTTTTGGGTTGGGTCGACTTCTCTAGTACCAGCGTTTTTAGTATGACTCACTTTTCATCCGGAGACGACCATCTGGATTCTCTTGAGACATGCCATTTCGAGTATGGTTGGCTTCCGAAAGGTATTGCAAGTAAGCCAAGGCGCCTTTGAGGTGGGCCACAGGTTGTGTAGCTGTGCTACCGCTTTGGGCACGTGCTTTGATTTTGTTTAACTAAGTGGCCCCCAGTTGCCACTCAAGTCGGCAAGCCATTTTCCTTCTGGTTTTTAAAGGGTGGTGTCCATGGTTCCCTGGTAGACTGGGAAATCGCGTCACCGGGCAAGGCAAAGCAAGTTGTGAGACCGTTGGACCCCCCCTCGGGCGTTGCTTCGGGTGGTAAATTCACGAGAGCGAGAATCAGATCCAAAGCCAGGAGGGAAAGGCAGAAGACACGTCGAAGGCCAGTTGCTTGCGGAGGTCTTCGCATGAGCTTCGGTCCAGATTTCCAGGTTTGTCTATGGTCCATTTGGGGTTTGGCACATGGGGGACACAGTTTTACACAAGAAACAGGTATCTCACAACAGATACCCTCACAACAACATGGTCGGGTGCCCAGGAACACTTTCCAAAAGGAATATCGTTTTTCAAAAGGGGGTCGAACCTGCACTTCCGTTTTGGTGGGAGGGTCCTTTCTGCACCCAGAAAGTTTCTCAGAGCCTAAAAGCTTCTGGGAAGGTTTCTGTTGAACATGTTGAACCTTTCAGAACATGAGCAAGCGACAAAGTTGCCGGTAGCTTACTGGCCGCTTGGGAGAACTTGCGGACAACCCACTAGAGGGGATGGGCATGCTCACCCAAATGTGATTCGGAGTTGGGGGTTACTCACCAAACCCCCAATGTCACTAGGGGGTCGCAATGAATATTGAACGTGGATCATGTCAAAAAGAAAGACAGATTGACCAGGGAATCCTCCAGATCAGATGCATGAGATGTCAACATGCCACCTGGTTTGTTCTTTGTAGACACTTCCAACCAATCGGGCAGCCCCCAAAACCCCATAGGCCATGTTAGTAGATGGTTCTACTACCTTGTCTTTCGTGGTTATAGTAAGGCCTGCATAAGCCTCTATAACCATCTTGGTAGGACCAAAAGCCCACCAATCGGGCCCTCCCTTAACATCCAAAGTCTGATTCCAATTGCCAATATGTTGCATCATTACCAAAGCTCGCTTGGGCGAAGACGGGCGCTCGCTTGGGCCTGTGTCAGTTTTGGGCGTGAGGACGGATTCTGCTTCCGCTGGTACTGGCCGCGGCCTCGGAGCTTTTGGGCCTCGAGGTCTCAAGCCCGGCCGCTTCGCTGCGGCAGGTTGAGGCAAAGAGAAGCTGCGGTGGGGGGATGGGGCAACATTTATCAATCAAACCCTGAGTGCATCGGGTTGGATCTGGGGAACCTTTCACTAACCTGCAACTGAACTCTGGTCCGGTACTGGTTCGGAGCCACGGCAAGGGGGCGCCAGGAGAGAAACATGACCCTGAAGGGTCATGGATGGCCCTCAACGGTCGTCGACAGTCCCCTAACCATCACGGTTGGGTTGCAATGGCTCCGCTTATTCGATACATGCGTGTGGCTCAAAACTGACTAGGAGGGGTGAAGCAGGTGTTGGTCCATGTTTGCACTTACCAGGGTTCCATTTTGGCACCGGTTCTTTTGAGCCACGGACATATGATCTGAGGTGTTTGTCATTTAGTTAAGCACATACGGTCAGAAGAACGCTGATGGCCATGAATTTTGATATCTCTCAAAACTGGTGGCTGCATGGTAAGTCGCCGTTGCAAATTGGGTGACCCCTAAATGGACTCCGATGGGTTCCTTTCGGATGCTATGATCGTGACAATCGGAACTGATTTGTTCATGACACGCTTAGAGCCCTCTACTGCTGTGAACATGTCGCCATGGAACCTGAAGACCGCTGGTTTTAAGGGGGTTCCTTTCGGAACGCTTGCGTGCAAAATGGCGTCACAAGTTTAGGTGCTTCGAACAAGAGTCGAAACCTGAAAATGTCCGAGCATGATGTTTTGCACTGAATGTCCAAAGGGGCGTGTCGACTTTTTAGTGGACTCAAAATGGTGCAACTTTTTTCCTTTTGGTTTCCTGGTCTATGTTGGGAGCCACTGAAGATGGGTGCACCCAAGGCCAGTCTTAGACTGGACACCCGGTTTGTTTTAAGAAAACCAACAGGAGCTCCGATTTCCGTGTTTTGGAGTTCCCTTGTTTTAGGACAACAAAGAAAATTCAAGCCCAAGCTTGTCCAAGCCTCGAAAGGGTGCAGAAATCCGCATGTAACTATGGGTTTGTCTCTGAATCAACCCCGAACATGGGTGTTTTCCATTTGGTTTCCTTTTGAACTCCAAGAAGGGTTCCCAAAAAAGCCTCGTGCAGGGAATTCCAAGGTAAATACCTGTTTCTTTAGCGAGGGGGCCACATCCTACCCTAAAAGAAGGGGATTTGGAGTGGGCAATTCTGCGGCTGGGACGGGGACAGAGTGGCTTTCCCATTGTGAATGTTTTGGCGAACATGGGTATGCGTCAAATGGGGCCCCCAAGCATGGTGGACTTCCTTTTGCTTTCAACCCCCAAACTAGTTCCCTGAAACACCCACTCATATCCACCTTCCTGTTCTGAGGTTCCATTTGGCTGGGCAAGCTGGCTTCATCGCTCGGACCTGATCATACAACGAGGGCTTGAGTGCAATTGGCCATGAGCGATTGGTTTCCACTGGTGTCCATGCGATTTCCACTGTTGTCCACTGTCCACTGGTTTTTATTGGTTTCCACTGTCCACGTTCCATCGGTTTCCACTGTCCATTGGTTTCCACTGGTTTTCCACTGGTTTTCCACTGATTTTCGTTGGTTTCCATGGTCCAAGGCTTGCCTCGTACGGCCCTCGCGAGGTCCGAGAAATGTTTGTTATCCAGATGCTGGACGGCTGGTACTGGGAGGCATGGCATACTCCGGGGCCCGAGAGAAGCTGGGCGCGAAACAGCCTACATGAATATGGCCATGGGTTGCATAACCTATGGCGATCCCATTTTGGGGTGGATGAACATCCATTTGCCACCTATTTTGGTGTTCACCAGGGGTACAGGGCTTTGACCCACAGCCATATGTTTGCCACAAGGGAAAGTTTTGTTTTTCAAGCTTTTTCCAGACCCCCCCTCTTCAACACCCAAGGCGAGATTTTCGGGGGTGGTTTTGAAGGTAAAGCAGAACATAGAAACACATTGTTTGGAAGCCAGAAGAAAGCCGCTCATTTATTTGGGCTCTAGTTGGAGCTTTTGAGTGAGGACATACTACGGAGCCTGTCTGTGGGGGGGGTCTTGCTTTGGCCCCATTTCCTCTAATCCTGGCAATTTATCTCGTGGGTTTCATGCTAGTTGGCGTTTGGATACCAAACACACCTATACTGCGTTACTGCTGCAACTAGTATCGCATGCCTGGAGGCGTCGCGAAACATCATTACTATCCACTGGTGGTCTGGGAACGCTCCGGAAATCACGGCTCCAAAAACAAAGATTGTCGCAAGTTTATTTGTTTGGGATCTTGCTTCTGGGCGTAATGTGCTCAGCCAGGTTTGCGCAGCAAACATCGCCATGTGGATGGTCGTTGTCTTCACCGTTCCCAGCTTAACCTTCGCACGCTATATGCAGGCAACTTGAGTTTTAACGCCCAGGCCAGTGGCGCCTAATGAGTTCCCAAGGAGAGTCTTTAAACACGAGCGCATGAGTGGTTCAAGCCTGTTCGGATAAGGATTTTGCTCCCGGAATGCCCTGACATGTGTGATGCCCCACTTAACATTTCCACGCCTTCATCTCTGTGGGCATTCCACTTCTGAGATTGATTCATGTCAAGAGAGTTCCTCCGAAAAGTTGGCACTAGGGGCTCGGCCCTCATCCACACTGATGGCTTCAATTTAAGTTGAAGTCAGATCATGAAAAGATACACAAACACATGAATACATGCACACATGCCCGAGTCCTTTAGACGTTGCTTCGTGTGTTACGCAGGTGCCTCCTGCAGCTCGGGCTTCAAATAATTTGAATGGAACCATTGAGCCCCAGCCATCTTTTGATGACATGATTTGCCTGATTTGCCATGGAAGATCAATGACAGCTAGCTGGCTGGGATGGAGATCGAATCGCTTACCTTGCTGAATTGAGCAGGGACGAGTTGCATCAACTCCTTCCTTGGGTGACTGACTTGGATGAAAGCGACTCAAGTAAGCTTCAGACATTACTCAGAAGCCACCATCAGCAAGTGCAGGCTAGGAAAAGGTTGGCAGATCATCACGTGTCCGCTGAAGCAGCAAGTTCTGAATATGAGCGTCTGACAAAACAGCTTAAGCGCGCCAGCTGGGGCGGCCGGGCAGATAGGGAAAGAGAGCTTGCTGATACGGAGCGTGCTCGAGAGAAAATCTTTGCGACAGAGCGCGAGCGGCTGTCAAGCGAGCTTGCGTCCATCATCCGAGCAACACGCGGCAGGGCTGGGTACCCCGCGGGGTCAGCCGCTCTTTCCGTCAATCGGTGTGCCTTGGGGCGGAGGGCATCTACATTGCGATCGGACCTTCGGCGTGTTCGGGCTATCCACCTTTACGCAAAGCTGCGGTTCGGTGTGCCCTGGTTTCGCGGGCCTGAGGACCTACTAGACTACGTGGCAGAGCGCCTCGCTGAACCTTGTGGGCGAACTGTGCCAGGTGCAATTTTTGGCACCGTGTCCTTCTTTGAGCAAGCCTGTGAGATTGAGGGTTCCGCCCGTAGCCCAAACTGCCTATGGTGCAGAATTTCTTCAAAGAAATCGCCGTGCACCCTGGCTGGGAGGTATCTCCGCGGACGCAGGCGAAAGCCTACTTGGTAGTGGTGGCTGCAGAGTGTGAAAATCTGGTCCTTGATAATGATGTCAAACCGTACATTCGAGTGTACGCTTGGTTCAAACTGGTGCGGCTGTGGACTGCAATGAGATGGAGCGACACAATGGGTGTCCTGGCAAAGTCCATCGAAATGGGTGGCCCAGCGCGGATTGTGTGGAACTGGCCAAAGCAGGCGTGTGCAAGTGCTGGATTTCTTTGTGTCTCGCACATGCTGGTTGCTTCAGGAGGAGTGGCTTGCAGTCGGTTTTCGGCTGTTTTAGCGTTTGAGGGAAGAGGCGGAAATCCAGAAGCGTGACTTCTTCCTGCCAAAGCCAATTCGCAGGTTGGGTGGTTGCCGGCGGGGAATTGTGCGCTACCCCCAAGCCAGTGCAATGTCCAACGCTTCGCTCCGGGAAATCTTGGTGGAAGCTCCCAGCGGCACTGGGCCGGGCGATGACCTTCAGAGCTAAACACCCGTCAGCCCAGGGAGATCTGACTAGAAAATTTTGTTTAGCCGGATCTGGTCCAGAATTTGGGGGGGGTACATCTGACCAAAACCGCCTCATACCCACCTCTGCTGCCAGCATTTGGCATGGTGTGCCAGCTGCCCAGCTGTGATGTCCTCTGTAGGTGATGTTCTCAGCTCGGAGCCAACCCCGGTTCCCTTCAGGCTTGCAGAGCCAGATGAAACTGAGACTGCCTTCAAGGACTCCATGGAGCATGTGCTCAAGGCGTTTGACAGTGAAGTGCTCGAGCCCTATGGTGGCCCAGCCCAGTACTTGCAGCACAAGCTGGCAGATCCTTCTGAACAGACAGCTTTTTTGCAGTGGCTGTGGGGCACTTTCCCTTTGCAGGAGGACAAGCTCTACAACTTGGAGAATCCGATGCCTTCTGCTGAAGAAAGCCAGCTTGGAGACCAAGCCCCCTGCAAAGCTCACATCTCGATGCTGGGCTACATGGCCCTGTGCACCTTGAAGCCCATGCCTTCTGCTCACAGTGCCCGCTTGCTGGTGCAGCACTTGCTGATGGATGGGTTTGTGACCAGCAGCCAGCCTCTGCAGATCAAGCGTGTTACGTCAGATGTCCTGCTGACAGCGCCCTGGGCTGCAGCTGCCAACGGTTTGCCAATCCATCCTTTCCCCTTGGGGTATGTCAAGGGCATGCTTCGTGGCAGCACAATCCTTGCCCTGCTCTACATGTTCTGGCAAGATGGGCAGGGCTTGCAGCTGTTGGATACCTTCAGCAACTTGGGGTGGTCTATGTGCACCACATCAAGCATTTCAGCTTGCAAGATGAGGTCTTCTACAACTTCCGTGTGTCACTTCGAGGATCCATCCGTCGCCCTCCCAACTTGCTGACCTGGGTGGGCACTTTGAGCCAGCTCAAGCAGAAGGGCTATGAAGACAGCGCGGCTGTGATCTCTCGTTTCAACTCTGGGGTCGGGAAGAGCTTCCAGCTTGTAGGGTCCAAGGCCACAGCTATTGGGAACTTGATGTCCCTGTTTCCGGCCGATCTCTTGACTTTGCTGCAGGCCCATGTCTCCAAGTATGGCTGGGACAGCTGCGTGCTTAGTGATGACAACCTGAGCACCAAGAAGATCCTGCCCAACTATGTCCACAAGAGCCCGCACAAATCGTGGAAGAAGCTCGCTGCCATGTCGGTTGTTTCCACGACCCTGACCTTTCGCCGGCTGACACGGGACTTTGACAAGATGTCCCCACACGCCCGCCGGAAGGCTGACAAGGCCACCATGGAAAGCTTTGCTGAACTTGCAGCCCTGGTGGTGAACCTGTCCAAGCAGCTGGCTGAGCTCTTCCCCTTGAAGCAGGCTGACTTGGAAACCAAGATCTACGACAAGTGGGTCGAGGGCAGTCCTGGCCTGGACCTTGAGCTTCATGAAGTCTGCACTGAGAAGAGGGAGTCCTTGGTGGTCACTGACATCAAGGCCTTCCGTGCTGTTGCCAACCTGCTGCAATGCAAGATCCCTGTGCCCAAGAATTCTGAGGAGATCCAGCTGACAGAGCTGGCCGCGAGCAAGTTTGAGTTGCTGAAGAAGCAGCTGGACTATGACCAGACCGCCTTCAAAGTTCATCAGTCCAAAATCCAGAGTTATGAGCATGCAGTCCACCATGCCAAACTTGAATGGAAGCAGAAGCTTCGTTCCGAGGCTGTGCAGTGGTGCAACTCTTGCCTAGCCAAGAAGTGCAAGGTTTTTACCTATGACCCTTCCCAGACTGGTGCCCTCACAAAGCTGGTTTCGGACCATGCCCAGACTTTGATCAAGGGCGCTGGCCTTTCCAAGCCTGCAGTTGCAGCTCAACTTCATGTTAACTTAAGTTGTTATTTGGTCGTCTTGCTTTTGAAAGCCTTCTTGAATCCTTGCTGTGGTTTTCCCTGCTCATCTAAGGCCACACTATCTGTGCTGAACTGGTCGGCACCTGCGGTCCACAGCCAGCTTGCCCAGGAGGCCCAAGCCTGTTGCTTTGCCCACACAGTGTCAGAAAGTTTCTGCAACCTCGGAGTCCTCCTGTGCCCAGTTTTCCATTACAAGAAGCACCAGATGCATGTCCTGGAGCACTTCCTCTTGAAGTCACTTGCTTGCCGTGGAGTGGATGTGGACCTCCAAGCCTCGTTGATGTTCAAGGATCGCAAAGATTCCCGGGACACCAGACCCTTAGTGTACCCCATTCGCATCATCCGGCCCTACATCGAGGCGGTCCAGTCAGATGATGAGGCTGAGGATGATCAGCGCACAAGCCGGTCAAAGCGCAACCCAGCTGGGCGCTACTGGCAAGCCTCTCAGCTGGTGCGGACCCGCCGCACTGAGGAGGCCGACCAAGTGCCAGCAACCAAGCTCAAGGTTGTTGAGGACCTTTCTGATGCTGCTGTCCCTTTCAGCACCGACCTTGATGGATCTGTGCGTGGTGGGCGCCGGTTTGAGCAGATCGGGCCCTCTGCGTCCTGCAAGTTGCTGGAGTCCCTCTTGGAGAATGACTTGCCCGGCAACATCAGCGGCCTGCTTGTGTTGGACTTGTCCCTTGGTGTGGGCGACCTGTTCTGGGCTTGGCTTGAAAGGGTCAAGGCAATGAAGTTCCCAATCTTGTATGTTGCTGCCTCGGCCGACCCTACAGCTGTGGAGTGGGTGCAGCACACCATCCAGGAGGAGCTCACAGAGAAGCTCTTGAGCGGTGATGTGGTCTTGCCTGGCTTCCACGTTCGCCCCAAAGATGCTCCAGCCGAGGTCCTTGCCAGCGCCCCGCCTCCCCCACAGCTCAATGTCTGCGTCCTTCAGCAAGGAGTCTTGGCAGTGCCCCAAGTTGTTGTGCAGCAGTGGGCAGCCCATCCGACCTTTGGCACTGAGTTCCAGCAGCTTTTGGCCGACCACATTGCAGAATTTGGGGAGGCGCCGCCTGAAAAAGCCGGGTCTTCAGGCCAAGCCAACAGAGCCTTCGCCAAAAAAGCGGCGAACGACTGCACCCCTGAAGTCTGAGTCGGTTGACAACTTGCCAGCTGTCAAACTTGCGCAAGCAGCTGTGGTTGGCCTCAAGAAGGAGCTCCTGGGCAAGATCATGATCCGTGTGTCCACGGATCGCTCTTGGCTTCTTGTCAATGTGTCGCAGAACGTTGTGGCACTGCCAGCTGGCACTGTTCTGGCTGGTTTTGGGCCAGGTACATTCAAACATGTGCCTCGCCTTGCAGAGGGGGAAATTGGCCCTGCAGATGTGGAAAAACACATCCTCTTCGACATGAAGAACGCCAACACCCATGTGCTCCACAATGGCAAGTTGACCACGCTGGGCGAGATTGTGAATGCAGTGCAGGGCAACCGTGCTGCCACTGACATCTGCTACCACAGCCAGAAGCCTGCCCCATCCAAGGACCCGAAGCACTTTGAGCTGGAGCGCAAGCATGAGGTTTACTACTGCCCTGCTTCAAAGACCAATGCGCAAGTTGAGGCATCGGGTGATGACCCCACCAACCTGGAGCTCAAGGGGTCATCATCCTTGGCTTCTTTGGTGCCGCTCTCCACTTGCAAGTTCGAGCACTGCAGCATCATGTGGGCAGTGAAATGGGCTACGAAGGGCCTCATGCCTATCAAGCCGCAGGTTGCCCTGACCTACGATGTTGAGATCCAGCCCGGCACAGCTGTTCATTTGTAGGCCACCTTTTTGTCCTTCTGCTTCAAATCTTGGGGCTGCTGGCCTGATTCCGAGGAATCCCAAATCCAGATGCCAGCATGAGTGCGAGCCAAAAGGTACTGCTTAGCTTGTGTCCTGAGGTCTCTTCACATGTCTTGTTCAACTCAGGTGTTTGTTGTTTTTGGCCATCCATGTTTCAGCTTGCTTGTTTGACAAACACATTGAAGTGTAACTGACCTGTGGCTAGCCACACTTTGCAATATACCCTCCTTTCACCTTAACCCTTTAGATGGGAGGTTATGTCAGAATGATTCTTCATGTCATGGGCTAGGTTTTGTGAGCTTTCGTGACTTCCAGGCTGCCATGGTTGCTGTGGAGCTTGTGGCTAGCCACGCTCCTGTGTTGAATCAACTTCACCTGCGGCTAGCCGCAACTTGTCAGAAAGTCAGCCCATCATGTGTTCCGAGATTTTCTTGATTGGCAATGAGTTTGATTGAAGTTTGGAACTTGGAGCCTTGGTGTTTGGCACCCTCAAGTCTGGGGATGGAAACTTGATGTCCAGTTGCCAAGCTTTCAGCAGACATCAGCAATCACAACCAGCATGCAGCAAGCATCATGGAAGCAGTTTAGCAGCCAGCTTGCTTAGCAGCCATGACCATTACGCACCAGGAGATCATTGAAGGCATGGAGCAGGTCACCTTCACTGCTGATGACCGCGCGAACGTCCGTTTGGCGACGTCCTGCGAGGTCAGCATTCGCTCCAGGAACAATGGGCCGCGAGTGCTTCGCATCACAGGCCAGAACAATGTGCAGGTGCAACTGGCACGGCGGTGCGTCCTTGAGGTGATCACTGGGACTTGTGTCAGCACCGTGGCAGGCTCCCTGGCACTGCTCTGGCAAGTGCTTGTTTTTGGGCTTTGACAATTTTGTTTGTGGGAACAAAGTTAGTTGCTCCACCTTGCTCCCAAATTGCTAGGTCCAGCAGCGATGCCGCCACCTGGAGAGCCTTCAGTGCCCGGAGTGACCACAAAGGCTTCCGCAAAAGCACCTGCAGCCCCGGCTAGCCGGAGCAGGTCGCCGCCTTGGCGACGAAGCAGCTTGAGCTTTCATGGCATGAACTTTGCAGTGTTGTTGATGGCTAGCCATCTTGTTTTGTGTTGGTGTTTCAGTGGAAATGGTTGGCAGTTGGCAGCTGTTTAGCTTGAGGCACTGGCGCTGGTGCCTGCCGAACACGTGGCGAAGGCAGCTTGTTTGACCAAACTGTCAGCTTGTTTTTTGGATACTGTGGTTGGCCCTTTGTTTTTTGTTTTTTTTCTCTTGTGGCCTTTTGCTGCAGGAGCTGCTTGTGTCACGCCTCTGCCCTTGGAGGGCAAGACCATCTTCTTGGCCAGCTGGGGCCTCCGAGGAGTGAATGCGTGCCCTGATGAGTTGGATCTCACCATTTCGTGCCTTCGCATTGACGACCCAGATCGAGCTCGGAGCCGCCATACTGAAGATGGTGATGACCTTGGCTTCCACCCTGGCTATCACGATGTGACCCTTGCCCGTGTCTTTGCGCATGCGGAGTTCCTTGTGCTGCTCGGCGAGGTCAAAGCCTGGGTGGCTCAGCTGTCTTCTGCCCAGAAAGAGGCCAGACTAGGCATCTTCTGCAGAGCAGGGCGCCACCGTTCAGTTGCGGTCTTGTGGCTTCTTGCCCATGTGCTGGCCCGGCTGGGCGCGCGTGTGAGGGTGAACCACCTGGAGCAGAATGCTGGCAGGTGGTCGCACCTTTGCAGGGGGTGCAGGTCATGTGCCGAAGGCACTATGACCAAGCAGCGGCTAGCCGCAGAGGTCATGCGTGCATACATGTCGCTTGAAGTGTGAAAAAAAGAGTCGGCATGTTGCCCCCTTAAGGTCCTTGCCCCCTTGAAACCCTTGCCCCCGTAAGGTCTTTGCATTGCTGCCTGCCAGGGTGTAGGGCCATGAAGGGCGGCTAGCCGCCTTCTGAGAACTTTGGCTGTGTGTTGTGTTCCACAGTTTCCTTGCCATGCATGGCGGCTAGCCGCCTCAGTTGCTTTCAGGGCCTCGCCCCACATGCTGTCCCAAACTGTTCTTGTGTCCAACACTTGCAACAACACGCACTTTTTGCATGCACACACACAAAGACCATGCACACAGAACACATGACAACACAAAAAAATAGGACAAATCTAATTATTTTAAGGCCAAATCCCACGAACAGAACTTGAAGACAATTCTGGGGGTGGCCTTGGGCGCTTTTGTTTTCTGTGTCACTGGCAGATGCAACAGGCGCACGTTGCACAGGGCCGGCTCGTGCCGGGGTTCGATTACAAAACGTTCGCTGTTGTCGGCGACGAAATGCCGACCCTTTTGCCTGCTGATAGAATGTGCGCAGACTGCTTTGGCCAGAAGGAGAAGCAAGCTCAGATGTTGCTGTCGGCAGCTCCTCAACCTCCATTAGTGCTTCTTCTGATGAAGATAGCGACTTCATCCCCTTAAAGGGTGTGACTGCATAGACGGCTGGGGCCGTGAGGGGGGGTTGTTTGTCTTGTTTCTTTTGTTTGCTTTGGTTTGGGAGGAGTGCCCTGGAGGGGCCATTTCACCCCCCCCCCTCCCCATCCCCCCCCCTGCAATGATGTTTTGTTCCGGCCTGTCTTTGAAGGGCTCCGCACATTGTTCAGGCATCGCTTTGGCACTTGGACTTGTGTTGTACTTCCGCCGCCGCAGTTTGATATTGGCCCCCCGCAATCAAGCAGCCGCATGGGTTTTCACGGCTGAGCCCTGGCACTCACGCAAAGCCACCGTTTGCAGTGTTTCTGGCGTTGAGTTTCTTCGAGGACATGATCAAGAAGTCCCCGCGAGCTGCTCCGAGGCCTCCACCCCTTGTAGGGGGTGAGCTGTTCAGGGTCGACGCTGCAGCGGACAAAGATTTGTGGCGATCGGAGGGTGGGAGACTTCCGCCACGACAGACACCAAGAAAGCCAGGTGGTTTTTCATCCGCCTGACGCGGAAGAATTCACCTTGGCTCTTTGCCAGCAAAGGAGAGCCCTTCCGTGTCGTGGCCTCCATCGAGCTTCTGGCTACAACTGTGGCTCTCATGGTTTTTCGGTGGGTCAGGAGCTGTGGCCACAGGTTTGGCAGGCAGGGTTTCCATCACTGGATGCACCGACAGCATGTCTGCGTCTTATGTCGTGGATCGCTACATGTCGACTGCTTTCCCATTGTCAGTTGTGCTTATGGAATTCCCGCGCATGCAGAATGAAGTTTGGTAGATTTTCCTTGGAGAACCGCATTGATGTCGAGTTAGGAAGCCTTCCTTTCATTGTTTTGCCACGTATGATGGAGGCGGCGGAGTCGTTACTTCGTGCGCGGTTGATCAGAGTTGATCAGCCTGCTTGACCAAGCAATGGTTTCCACGGAAGCAACCATGTGCGCCAAACCCAGATAGAAGTTTTCCAATAGATGGCTCTTGCTCCCTCAGTAAAGTGGAAGCTCTTGCAAGTAAACCGCCAGCACATGTGAAACATCCGCGCCACACATTTACCAACACAAAGTCTTCAATGGTTGCCATTTTTCCGTCAGCCACTGGGGGAGCAAGACATACATGCATGCAAGCAGAACACGCATAACGTGCATACATAACATACATAGCGCACCTTACATACAGCGCACACACACACACATCACACACATAGCACGCATAACATACATTGCATACATTTATACACATTTCGTACATTTACACACATTACGTGCATCACATACATTACATTACATTACATTGCCTTACCTTACATTACATTATTTTTGTTTACATTACATTCCTTTACATTACATTACATTACATTACATTACATTACATTACGTTACGTTACGTTACCTTACATTACATTACATACATACATACACATACATACATACATGCATGCATACATACATACATGAACACATGCATACATGCATACATACATACATTTATGCTATACATGGATTGCGCAAGGTTTTGTATACTTGTACTGGATGTCTTCGGAAGGGTCCGGCTTGTGGCACATTCCCATAAGATCCCCTGCTGAGGCGCGGCAGATTTGGCAGTTCGCCAAAGTCCGGGCACAGTCGCCGAAGGCGGTTGACCAGGCGCGCCAATGAGTCGCTTGAAGACCCGTGGGAGTCTTGACCCCATCTAAATAAGGTTCCGCGCATTTTGCCTCGGAGCTTCGCACCGCCCAAAGGTAACTCGCTCAAAGTGGCCTTTGAAAGGTTATGTTCAAAGCTACCCAGAGGGGTAGAAACATTGTCTCAGCAGAGGACCCCAGCAGCGAAAGTTAGCCAAGGGGGTTGGTTCTGCAAAGAACAGGGTTGTGGTATGGCCGCGTATGTATGCGTGTAGTATTGCGCGCTCAGTGACCAGGTGCGCTCCAGCACCTGGATGACAGATGTTTCTGTAAAATAGAGTTTGCTTGTAGAAACAGAATCTGTTCAACCAGGTTGACATGATCTTGCATCACTCTGCTTGTGAGTTTTCGTGCGGGTGTTGGATTCTTGCTTTGGTCGGATTCTCACCGTCATCGCGCTTGGCAATGCTGGCTTGAGCTCTGAATGCTGCTCGGCTCAAGTTCATGACTGATTTTTCCGAAAGCGGCGCAAAATCTTGGCCCAGCAAAAGCACTCGCCCCCGTTCGGCACAGTCACTCGCCGAGAGTGACCTGCACAAAACGATTTACAGAGCAAAGTGCGCAAGGCAACTCAAACAAAGTACCTTGCGCAACGTGCCACTCCGCATTGCGCAGCTGGTTGATGACAAAGTTATTTGCGCGGAGTGACCTGCGCCTTGCGTGGAGTGACTTGCGCAAAGTAACCGGAGCACAGCGACCTGCGCAGCGCGATTTGGACAGCGGGACCTGTTTAGGGTAACTCCCACAAAGTGACTTGTAGAGTGACTGTGCAGAGTGACCTGTACACTGTGACGCGCACGGGGTGGCCTGCAACTTGCATAGGAGTGACTTGCACAGAGCGCTTGGTGTAAAATGACTCGCGCAAAATCGTTTGCTCAGAGTAAAACGGGCACAGTGGCTTGCGCCAAGCCCAGCGCGATTTGCGCAATGTGATGAGTGACTTGCGCAAAATGGTGTTCTCAGAGTAGCTTTCGCAAAGGGCTTGCCTAAAGTGGCCGGCGCAGTGATACGTTTGCAGGGTGGCTTGCAAAGGCCTAGGAGCTACTTGCGCAGAACAACTTGCAAGGACTTGCTTGCTTAGAGTTACTCGCGCAGTGTAATTTGCGCAGCGCAACTTGTGCAGTGTGACAGTAGCTTGCCCATTGTATTTTTTTCAAAGTGACTTGCGCAGAGTTTTTCACGTGATTTGCGCAGAACGGTTTGTGCATCTTGACCGGCGTAGAATGACTTGAGCACAGTGACTTGCGCAAACTCAATGTTAGGTAGCCATTAAATTCATGGGGAATTAACATATTTATATAGTTGTATATTTCCCAGAAAATTCCTTCCTCTGGAAAGCAATAAGGGTAGGGAAATACACCTGGAAATGGGGGCCAGAAACCTGGAATGCTTCCCCGGATAAAAAGCACAGTCAATGTCTGAACTTGTTGCATACATCCTGCTCAAAACCCGTGTCCAATCTTACCATGTACCAATAATCACTGCACCGCCAACCAGCAGTAGAGCGTTCTGAAATGGTCCCAAACAGGCAAATTCTTTATGACACTCGCTACTAAAACTGCCACCCAGCCAAATTTTAAAGGGGGCGGTACAGGAAGGAATTCAACAGTATGGTTTCTGTAAATGTAGCAATCCAGAATGCTAAGCCAATACTAAACCAATAAAAGTACTGGGCCAGCTCAAGGGAATCGTGCTCGAATACTAAACCAACTCTTGAAGGTACCGACCCAGCACAAGAATACTCAACCAACACCAAACCAATACTAAACCAATACTGAACGGTACTGGACCGGCCGTTTTTTGCTGGTTTTGGTCTACCTTTGACTTCCGTATGCCAACCTGGCCAAACAGCTTCGTGTAACGAAGTTTTGATGGTCTCTATCCGATTTTTGCTCACATGCATGTGATGGTGAATACGCTGTTGCTGTTTGCCGCCGTTTGGGGGAGTAAGTGGTTGTGCGCACAGCCAAACAGCATGCTGCGTGAGGGAGGCAGAAGCGAGTGCGACCCGCCAGATTTTGGACATGCTTTTGCTGCCCATCAACTATGGCTTCCTCTGCGCGCTTTGCGCGCGCTTCTCAGGCATAGGGAGGCGTTCTCCGATAACAAGCAGACCTTTGCAAGCTACAGCCCATATTCCCCTGATTGGTACGGACACCCCCCCCAGAAACGAGAATATCTAAAATGGCTTCCACTTTAGATATACGTCCACTATACCACCAACGTCTGGATTCGGCCGGGAAGTGGCCAAATCCGGCGCCCGGCATTGGTTTGTCTCATTTTTCAACCTGGAGTGGTTTGAAAGATATGTTGAAAGGCCACATACCATGGGGGTGGGGGGGCATTTTCCCCGCGAGAAATGGGTTGCTGGACCTCGCCGCTTTCCGCTTTCTCCCGTCCACGGAGGCGCCGCGCTGAGGTCCGAGTTTTAAAGCTGGAGAACACCGAGCAGAATCGCATGATTGTGTCTGCCGTGATCGACAGCGCCGACATTTGGGAGCCGCTGCCTCGACTTTTGAAGTATCAGAAGTTGGTCAGGAGATGTGTTTGTGAGTCTCATGTCATTGTTTTCTTGAAGCATTCCACCGTGTGGCTGGAGTCCGAGGATTGAGTATCTTTGTCATTGGATTGATTTCAACGGTTAGGGGTTCTTTGGGAAAACTCCGAATAGATGTGATATGTGTGTTTTGCTTTGTTAAACAACTAACCTGGAGTCTCCCAAAAGGCACCCATCCCTTAAAATACCTAGGATATGAGAATAGCTAGGATTAATAGAAGAAGTGGAAAGGGACTTCAACGGCGCCCATCCTTTTGGGCAAAAAACAAATAAATCGAATAGTTAGACTACAGTAATTGCAAAACTTTAACAAATGAATTTGGAGAATGAACAGCTTGAAACAAACGCACGGCGACGCAGAGGGTCAAATAGGGCCTGCCAAGCCCCCCCCCCCCCCCGTACCTTCGCTCAGGGCCTGGGCGCTTTGGTCCGTGCTGAAGCTTTTTGTGGCGCCCTCAAAGTCACCCAATCGGCACCTGGCGACCGGTCCAGCTCGATTTCCCTTTGGAGCTAGTTGAATCATCACTTGGACCTGGCTTGGCTTTCGCTGGGAGCCCTGTGGAACAAGATACTGAGCCAGATACTCGTTGACGACAACTGGGTGCGCTATGGTCCATTTTGGGGCGGGAAGTTGAGTGAGTTGGGGCTAGCTCACTTTCCCGCAAAATCAGAGACTCAGACATATGACCCGTTTTATTTGTCCCTCGCAGTCCGGGATGGGTTTGTCTTTGGTCCCTTTGAGGTTGGTTTAAAAGGAAAGCCAAAGGAAGCCAACGACCTGATTGGCTCCCTCATTTTGAGACACCCATCTTGGTTTGGACAGGGGCCTAAAACGAAAAGGCGTGAGTTGTTTGAGAGACCTTCGCCGGCCTCAGGTCAAGATCGTTGACAGTGCTTCTGCCAAGGCACCTGTTCTCGCGTGGTAGTTTGCTCCGCCCAGAAGCATGCCAGGTCGCCCGAGATAAGTTGGTGGTTCGGATGGTTTTTTCTGTTTTTGAAGCCAAAAGAAGGTTCCCGCAACCTCCAATCCACTCCAAACCATCATCCAATCCAAGCCACCAGCAGCTTATTGAAGCACGGGTGGATCGCGGCGTGTTGTGTTTTCGTTTCTTTTCCTTTTTTTTGAAGGTCGTGGAGAGGGACAAGATGAAGGCCCCGCAGGAGCCACGACCTTACGTCCAAAGACCATTCTAAGTGCCAACTTGCATACCCCAAATGGACACGCCCCAAAATGAGTGGTTATACATAAGTACAAAGTACATCCGAAAGGTGTAGTATTGTGGATGGACGAACTCCTGCACCACTTTGAAACCATGGTTGACACCTTTGTTTGTTGGTATTCATCGGGAATCGTCATTGGGTTCAACAAAAGGTGGTGCGAAATTAGTTTCGTCCATCCACGGTACCACACCTATTGGCTTTAGGGATCGGTTGTTGGGATACTGTACCCTGTACCCATGTATCAGCACTAAGTCCACTTGGGGTAAGCTGGCCCTGAGATTCTCGGCCGAGGCTCGGACGAGAAGGCGAGCGAGAAAGCGTCAAGGCGCCGACCAGAAGCCGGAAGCGTGAGGCCGAGGCGGGGGGTTGTGGGGTGGGTTGGGGTTGCTGAGGGGTGGACGGCCAAATTCACAGGTATTGAACGATGTTGCGACTGAATATATTTTAATACTGGGAAACTCGAGATTTTGAGGATCATTGCATGAAATGAGATATTTCAGAGGCTAAGGGGTAGAAAGCGGGGGGGAACACCCCCAAAGATGGTGTCCCTGAAGAATTTGCAAGGGTTGAACCTTCCTCGAGGATTGAGCTATGCGCGTCTCACCAAGCCATACTGAAGCTTGGGCCCTCGCGAGGCTATTGAGGACCTCGTGCGAAAGGCGCTTTTGCGCTTCCGCTTTTTTTGAGCTGTACATTGAACACCGTGTTTGAAGGGGGACGAAAAGGCAGCCGTCCATTTGGTGGGGGCACTAGTTTGACACATACCAGTATGTGAACACGATGTGGGTGTATATTCTTCAGGGTAAACCAGTGGCAAAAGCTGCACACTAGTGCCCCTGTATCCCTGACCATGGTTGAGATTTGGGACGGCGTCGGGCTCAGAGAGCATTTTCGTTGGCGCTTTTATGTTGGAAATAACTCCCGCGCGGCTTCCTGTTCTCCTTCAATGGTGTTTCAACACATGGCACCTGTTTTGGCACCTCTTGATGTTTGCTATGCTCATTGTTGATAGTATGTTGGTGTTGGGGAGAGCAAAGGACTCACCGCTTACAACTTGTTGGGATTATCCTGTTCAAGCGGGCACTGGGCTTGTGGATGCACATAACCCGTCCAAACATCGGATCCAACCCCCCCGCCCTCCCCCAACAGTACTCCCCCTGGTTTGCACATCAAGCCTTAACAAGGCCTTCAGAAGGCCTGGAGAAGGTCTTACCTGGAGAAACAGCGGGGGGGGTCACAGCAGCTTGTGCATGGTAGAGTATGCTTTGTTGGGATATGTACGACCTTAGATATTGGTTCCCCTAAGACATGGGAAAGATGGGGGAAGCCGATCATGTCGGCCCCATTTGGGTTCTCGAAATGGGGCCACCCCCCCCGAAAACGGGTTTCAGTGTTCGTGCCTTCGACAACAGCACACATCCATTTGGTGGTTGATCAAAAGATCCTTTCCCTGGGGTGATCACTAGGGAAGCCACCAAAAAAAGAGACAAACTTACCCATGGTCAAGATTAGTTGATCAACCCACATATGGAGTTTTCATAGAGAACCTGGGCCCGGGCCCCAACTCAAAACTCACACCCACATCTGAAAATGGGTACGAAGCCTTTGTGCCTACCTACTCTCAAACGGATATTGCAACAAATGGGGGGACCCCTTTTTGAGGGTAGTCTGAGGGTCCAGGCAATTTTTGAACAAAGAACAGATTTTGTTTTCCTACCAACAACTGCTTTTTGGCCTGTTTGGTGTTGGACCTGAGAAACCCATGCGTCGTTCGCCGTGGAACCGGTAGGACTCCCGTCCTCGTAGGTGGAGTCGGAGCCGCTGGAAGCGCTGAAGCGCACCACCAGCGCTCCGGCGGGCAGGTGGCAGAACCGTGGCATCGAGCGCGCCATCTCAGAGGCCGGGGAAGTGGTTCGTGGCGTGGCTCGTTTCATGTTGTTGAGGGGGGGACCCTGTTTATGGGGTAACGCTGAATTGGTGGTTTGAAAGGGTTGGGAGATATGAGCCCAAGCTCCTTTTGAAACCGAATAGGCAAGGTGCCCCCCTAACCTCCGAACCGCCAAGCCAAACCACTATATAGAGGCAAGTTGACTAGGTTCTTTGAACGGGACGGCAAAGGGAAAACCGCCATTTTGGCTCATTACCCTGTTGTTCTTTTCCTCCGAAAGCGGAAAGCTTGGGGTCTCTGCCCAGCCAGGCTCTGGGGTGGTTTGGAGCAGCTTTCAGGGAGGGTTCCGGAAGGGTTGTTGGGTTGCCAGGGCTTGTTTTTTTTTGGGTACCCTGTTGGGGGTTTCTCAAAATGGATCTCGGACCCCCTGAACAGTTTGTGTTTAATGAGAAGCCAAAGCGAAACCGTTGCCACCTGAGGGGACCGGTTCCTATTTTTGGGAAACACCCTATGTGGGTTGGATAGGGAAACCAAAAGGAGCCAAAGTCCATTTTCCGTTTGTGGAGTTTGCCAAATGTTCTTGCTGATTTTGTCTATGGTCCCCCCTGCGCTTGGGGATCGGGACAGAGGGGGGACACCTAATGTCCAATGTCCCCTTGGGGAAACTAGTCATTTTGCTCCAAGCAATTGAGCCACACATGTTAGACCTGCTTTAATACTGGGGATGGACGAAATCCTGCACCAGGTTGAAACCATGGGAAACCGTTGTTGGTTGGTATTTCCAGGGGAATAGCAATTCCTGCATTTCTTAGGTGGTGCAGGATTTGGTCTATCCACAGTATGATCCTCTTAAACAGTGGAATCAGTCGTTCTCACCCTCTTGAGTCGGCAAGTTTGGGGCTCCATTTGGATTTGGGTTGGTCTTGGGCTTGCGGATCGTTAGTTGTGTATTGCTGTATTGCTAATGCTAGGTCCAAATCAAGTGCTGCCCACGATGAATCTCAGGCTCTCAGCACATAAATTTAGTACTGCCAATTCTAGATTTAGCATTTCAAAGACTTAATCAGTTGCCAGTTCTGTGGCATTGCCAAGATCTTAGATTCCCACTACTTCGTGTATTGTTGACAATTCTAGACGTATAGTATCGCCAAGACAGTGTCTCAGATTTGCGTTACTTTAGATTTAGCATGTGCAGGCCTTCATCTCAGAATCCCAGTACTTTATTTAGTATTGGCAATTCTAAATTGAGTATTGCCTGCCGATGCTTAATTTAATCTCACGTTCCCGCCAACTCCAAATTTTGTATTGCCAAGGCAAAGACTCGCTCTTTATGATCATTTAGTATTGACAAGACTTGATCGCAGATTCGCAGAACTTATATCTAGTTTTGCCTGTATGTCAATAGTCCATGTTTCCTTCCAGGGTTCCATTTTGGGGTTACCCTATTTTTGACCCACAGCCAAATTAAAGAGGACCCAGTCAGGTCAAGGATGGGCTCTTGTGATTGCTTGAGAGTGGCCACTTCAGTCAGGAATTCTTAGATCTCAGGCCTTTAGCCTTGGGAAGAAAAAAAAAGAACCGTCCTGCAAAAGTAAAAGGCTAAGTCTAGAATATTTTTGTTTTGTTGTTTGGTTGCTCTTGTTTTTTTTCTTTCTTTTTTTTCTCAGGAACCAAACTGTGTTAGAGGACCCCAAATCAGTCCCAGGATCCTGAATTAGGAGAACCAGTTCTATAACAGGATCCCAAATAATTAGAGCGGGTCTAGAATTATAAGTGCCTGCTGTGAGAAGCCCCCTTTGTTCTTTTTGTGGCTTTGGGTCCACTCCTTGAATGCGAGGTTCTGATTGTGACTCAGTTGTCCACACCCAGTAGATCCCAGTTTCCCCTAAGGTAATCAGCATTTGTTTGATTTTTTGAAGGGTGGTTTTGGTGTCCAACCGTACAGGAACAACTTTTTTTCCTTCGGGCGAATTTACAGTTAGCGGGTGAAAGTGCTTTCCTTGTCTGGCCCAAAAGCATCTTTACGGGATCCTGTGTTTTCCCGAGTTTCTCAGCTGTCAGAAGTTTAACTCACCTGCTCTTTTGGCACCTGGAAACAGAAAGGTGATTGCCTCTTACGACCTTGACTAAAAATAATCAAAAAGAGAAACTCAAGAGGCGAAAAGCTCGATTCCTTTTGAAAGGGTGGTTTCAAGAAAACCGATGGGGTCCCGAATCAAGACTTGAGAGCGACCCAGTTGTGGGAATTGTCCTCCTCTTCTCCCCTTCCCCCGTTCCCTCCTTCCCCTCCCCTTTCCCCCGTAGGAGAAAAAAGACCTCTCCCCACATCCTTGAAGGCTTGTCTTTTGTTTTTCTCAGGTTTTGTTTTAAAGGGAATTCGAACAGAAGCTGCCCTTTTTTGGGGTTTGGCGGGGGTTCTTCTATTGGAGTCTATCCTTTTTGTGGATTGCCATTTTGGGGGTTTGTCTGACGGCCTGTTGGACAGCACCCATTTTGGGGGACCAAGCAATGAGACATTTTGGGGGGTTTGGGGGTGACTGTTGATATCCAAAATGAGACAACCCATTTGTGCCTTTTCATTTGTGCCTTTTCAGGAATCCCCCCCAAAAAAAAGAAAGAAAGAAGGGGGTTGTCCTTTTGGTTTTGCTTTGCCGCCCAAAAAAAGGGGGCACTAACTCCAAAAGCGACACACGCATTCTGGTAACCCTGCAATGGGTGGTGGGAATTGGTGGTTTTGGGATATCCCCTGGCTCTAGATAGAACCCTGATGGTCGTCCCCAAGAACCAAAACATCTACAGGGCTCCTTAAAAGATACATTTTGCCCATTTGAAACATGACTTTTTCCACCAGAATCAAGGGACAACACCATTTACAAGGCAATGTTCAGGTGTATAATGTAAGGATCCCTGATCCATTTTGACATGCTTTCCCAGGAGCGTCTCGGTTCGCGACAGAAGTGCGTGGAAGACGAGGCAGATGGCACATCCAAGTTGTTGCCAACCTGGACCTTCAAACTCCAGCAAAAGGACATGGTTGATATTGCAACCTTGGAGGGTAGTTTGAAGGTCCAGCTACAGGAAATCCTTCCTGTAAACAATCCTGTAGCAGGTTTCTTTAGCAAAGGCTTGCCGTTTTGACCTTGACATTCCTGGTTTTCCGGGGGCTTCGACTTTCAGCGTTTTGGGGTGGGGGGGGGGGGGGGGCGAGTTCTTTGTCAGGGGTCAACAAAAATCGGTCCGGCTTAATCATTCATTTTGTGCGTTTCGACTACTTTATTTTGGTGTTCCTTGAGTTCCCCTTGCAACCAGCGCAAAGTTCTTACCTTCGTCTGTCCGGCCCAGGTACAGGATGACGATTCACATCACCTGTTTCATTGCTGGGGCGCGCAGCATTTCAGCCCAGCGCTTGGTGCACGCCTGATACTGGGTTGTCCAAAAAGAGACCCTTTGGACCCTTTTGTGAACCCTCTTGGAAGAGAAAGGAGGGCACGTGAGTCTAACAGTGGGACTCCCAAGGACGTTTTAATTCTCTCCATTGGGAGACCCCGCTTTTCGCTCAGGTGAACAGCTTGAGCAGCCTGCTTTGGAGCCCCCTGTCCATGCACCCGAGGCAGTCGGATTGGAACGAAGTGTCAGCCAGTGAGAGATGATTGCGTATTGGGGGTTGGTAGGGACGGTTCTTGTAACGGACACCATGCGCATGATCCACAGGAGTTTTGACCAACATGGATCCCCCTTCATCTAGGGCATTTAGATTCCAAAAGCGATGTTGACTGTGGGTGTTCGACATTGATTTGTGTCAACGTGACACGTATGCTTTTGGCAGGCACAGGTGACACCTGAGACGGACGTGAGCGAGGCTCTCGGGAAGGGTCGGGTTCATGGCCTGAACCCCTTGGATCTCAGGCAACTGCTTGCTGTGATTTGGTCCTGGGGCAAGCGATTTTAAAACAGAAGCGCATATTTCCAGCTGGTGCTGTTGAAAAGCATTCTGTTCTTGGGAGAATTCTGCTACATCTTGAGACATTAAGAGGTTCTTTTTTACGCTCGCAGGGGTTACTGTATACAATCCAAACATGCTGCGGAAGAACTAGGACTGGGGGTCAAACCAGTGCTTAGGATTTAGGGTAGAAGCTCATGGACTCGGAATTGGAGAAATGCAGTGGGCACATTTGCGGAAACCTGGAGTTTTTGAGTAATGTTGGACCTCCTCTATTAATAGTACTCGCTATTGTAGAAAAAAATGTCCTAATCCAAAGTCCTGTGACTGTTTTAGGGGTTCTCTATTGTGGCATTTTTTTTTGGATTTGCTGGGGCTCAGGCTAAATTTGCTAAGCCTTGGTAGTTCCTGTTGAGCTGGAGGCTGGTTCTGAGCTAGCTTTGCTTAGAAGCTTGGCCACATCTTCTGGTCCTGCGCAGTCTCAGTCTCAAATCTCAGTCTTTCTAAACTGCGCACAGTCCTGAAAAGGGGATCTTCTTAGAAGCCTTTGCCTCCTGAACAACCAGATACCTCAGAGCCTTCCAGGGGTCGCACTCAGCACAGCCAGATTGCCACCTGCACTTAGAGCAAATGCAGATGGAGTGCTCAAGTGACTTGATCTTGGTGGTTGCTGTGGCTGAGAGATCCTGCCAAGTGAAGCGCTCAGAGTTTCCTGCCTCAGCTGCTGCTGAGGATTTGTTCTTTGTCTGCTCCAGCCTGGCCTCAGCTGCTGCCTTGTTTTCCAGCTGCTTAGCCTCCTGCTTCTCAATGGTTTTTCTTTGCTGCGCAAGCTCTTTCTCAATGGCAGCCCTCTGCCTGGCTAAGTGTTGGAAGAGCTTCATCAGCCTCTCTCTCCACAAGGCTGAGGTGTGCTCAATCCAAGCTCTGAGCCACTCACCCCTGGAGGCCCTCAGCTCTTCCTCCATCCAACCCAGAACAAAGAAGCCACAATCAAGGCTTCCCTGCTTTTGGTAGACTGAGTTGGTTTTTTTGAGGCAAGGTGAGCTCAGGGTCGACAAGGCTGCCTACCATTGTTTCTGCTTCTGCTGAGGCCTTCATTCTTTGCTCAAGGGAGTCATAGACCTTCCACGCGAAGCCTGAGTTCTGCTCCAAGCTTTTCATCTCAGCCACCAGCAAGGTCCAGTGGTTGGCTGAGAAGATTGGTGGAAAGAAGACCTTCTTGAAGGATTTTTGGCCTACTTCAAGTTCAGCAAGAGCTCAGTGAGAAACTCTTTCAGGAGTGCTGGCACAGCTGGGTCCACACACGTGACTGAGAAGTGCTCAGGCGCTTGCCGTGAGCCTCAGCATTCTCCTTAGCCTCCTTCTCTATTGCAGGCTTGAGTGTCTGCTCAAAGCACCTGCTCAGAGCTCCTCCATCAGCTCTTCGTGCTTATTCTCCAGGGTGTAGATCTTAGCAGCCTTTTGTCTGAGCATTCCCTCCAAAGCCATGCCCTCTGAGACAGCGAAGGCTTTGCTCAGTCTGCTCCTCAATTTCTTTCAAGAACTCAGCAACCTCGCTCAACTTGGGCTGAGCTGTAGAGGGTGGGCAGGTAGGGAAAGACACCTTCTGAGGGCAAGGGCTTAGGAATGATCTGAAGCTCATACTTCAGAAAATTGGCCCAAGGCAGCCTCTCAGCCACTCAGCACTTTAGTGTGGTACTTATAGACCTGCTCAGCCAGCCAGCTCTTCTTGCAGACCACGTACCTGGTCTGCCAAGGCAGCCGGCTTAGCCAGAGCTTAGTGGTCTTGCCACTCTCCTGGCCTTACCTGC